CTATGATGCAGAGAGCTTCCAGCAGCAGCAGTAACGCCCGCGTCGTTCATGTTGTTACTGGTAACCGCTCAGCGCTACCGCATGTATCCAGCAACAGAAGCCTTGCCAGAGGCTCTGATACAATGCTGACCTGCCAAGCCATGCACAGCTCTGCCAGCCTCCCGAACCTAGCCAGGCTCGGGTCGAACAACGGCAGGTCCGGACTCCCACCAGCGGCTTGTGGTCTCAGCCCGGGCCTGAGCCCGGGCCTTAGTCCGAGCCTCGGAGGCCAGTTTTCCCAGATCGCCACTCCGACTAGCGCTCAGGGCTGTCACAGTGAAATGCATAAGAGCTCATCTGACGGTAGTGAGGATCCCAAGGGCGGCAGGATCAAACGGTCCTCGTTAACTCGAGCTTTGGAGGATGATGATGATGACGATGATGATGATGATGATGATGATGATGACCGGACGGGAAGAAGGGGAATGGAAGGATCTCCGGGGTTGACAGCTGGTGCAGCTGGACTGGGAGCCTCTCAGTCCCCAGCCAATCCGCAAGCGACACCTGGCATGTCACCCGAGGCTGGGTCCCGAGGCTTGGTCCGAACCACAGCTGCGGTGGGGAAGATCTGGAACCATCTAGGTCCGGGGAAGCGGTGGCAGAAGAATCTGAAGGAGCAGAGAGAAAGAGTAGCTGCAATGGGGACGTTTCATCGAGATTTGCTGCAACAAACTGCGGATAGCCACTCACGATCGATAGAGCGGCTGAGAGAGTTGGGGCAGCAGATGCCTTATGGGGGGGTGGGGGAGGGGCACATGTTTATGGGGGCATCTGGGCGCATGGGCAGTGCCGTTGAACGAGGAGACCAGTTCAGTCGAAGGTCTTCGGTGGTTTCAAGGAGAATGGAGCATGTGGCATCAGAGCCAACGCGGTTGCTGAATAGGCCTGGGTTGGAATGATGAGATTGTTGAGATCATGTCGGTGAATTCACTTCGTTTTTTTAATTTATGTGCTTCAAAAGCATCTGATATGTGACTTGAGCCATCTTGCTTTGTAAATGCGAGATGTGGACTTAGGGAGAATTGTGTTGGTGTGTCGTGTAGTACTACCATATGTGAGATGCAGAGCCTTGAGTTTCATCCCGTTGACACTAATTTACTGACTGGTGGAGTTGAGTGTAGTGGTAGTACTACCAGAAGTTGTAGTGCTGACATTTATCTGACAGCGGAGTTCAACATCCAATCGCCCCACAACAACATAAATTCAACTGACATTGTATCTCAGCTCGTTCAGTCTCTCACGATTGGCGGTAGTTGCTGTAGCCTCTAAGGAAGCAGCAGCAGGCTAGTAAGCTTTATTGACGAAACGTATGTTTGCATTTGCAGCCAGCATTCATATCAGCATAGCCCGCTTATGAAGTTAACGGGAATCCTTTGCTAACAGTACATTTGCGTGGCCCGATGGATGTCTTGCACTGTCGAAGCAAAAGTCCAATGAGCGAAGGCATGAGCGAATAATATATAGCGAAACTACAGTGGTAACGGTAATGCATGAAAGTGGGGTGCGCGATGGGCCTAGCGCCGAGGTTGGGAAATGCCGAGGCGGAGGCCCGGAGCGCGGGTTACCAACCGAACCGTGAACAGTGGCGGGAATAGTGTCGAGGCGAATGTCGCGAGTGGTAACGGTTTACTGTTGGGTGCTGTTGGCGGGAACAGTGGTGTACGCGCTGAGCAAGGACGCGAAGTAAGGAAAATGAATTTTCCTTACACTACCCCCCCCTCTAAAGGAGGCCCTCCTTACGAAAGCGCGTGTACATCCTGGAAATTTCGGCTGCGCAGGTAATCTATGAGGACGGGGTGGTTTTCGATTCTGTCCAGGGGAACCCAGTTGTCTTCGATGGGTGTACGGTCTCTCCAGCGGATCAGGAATTCGATCCTTCGGGCTCCTCGTGGGTCACGAGCTCGGTGGCTCAGAATCTTCTCGGGCGTTATGATTTGCTCAGAAACTTCCCCCCCCCCTCCCCCCGCTCCCCCTTCCAGATGTGATGTTATTCTACTGGGCGGCGGCTTGATCTTCACGTTCTACAAGGCGCAGGGCTTATCGATTGGAAGCTCGAAATGCGAGGAGTCTCAGATTGGCCTGGCGGCCAGTTTCCTTGAGAAGGCGGCGGCAAAGGGCGTGCAGGTGGTCTTGCCCACAGACGTCAATATCGCCGATAAATTCGACGCCCATGCCAACACCCAGGTGAGAGAGGCTACTTTTGAGGTCCCAGATTGGCCTGGCGGCCAGTTTCATGGAGAAGGCGTGAGCCAAGGGCGTGCAGGTGGTCTTGCCCACGGGCCTCAACATTACCGATAAATTCGATGCCCATGCCAACACCCAGGTGAGGCTACCATGGTTGGGAAGTTGGTAACCAAGGCGTTAGGGTGAAAATCCGTCTGAAAGTATGCTGAGAGGAGGGTACACGGGTGGAAGGGAAGCAGGCCGTGCTGCTGTTGCTGACACGTGTGTGTTGCTTCCCTTTCTCCTCCCCCGTCCCACCTCCAGATGGTGTCAATAAAAGCCATTCAAGACGGCTGGATGGGTCTGGACCTCGGAGATGATACAATCAGGTCGTACGATCAGAAGCTCTCTAATGCCAAGTCCATAATCTGGAACGGCACCATGGGTGTCAACGAGTTTCCGAAATTTTCGGCTGGAACCAATGTGAGTCGTGGAACCATGTTGACTTGCTGCTGAAAAATGTGGTTGTTAATGTTGATCCAGGGTCACCATTGATTGGAACCCTGAGTCCTCTTCTCATCATCACTCTACCACTGCGCCTTATCCCTGCTCTTATTACAGTACTCTGTTCCATTGCAGGCCATTATTTCTAAGCTCGCAGAAATGACGGAACGTGGTGCCACGACCATCGTCCTAGGCCGTGACACCGTGGCAGCAGTCGAACAAGCAGGATTCGCTAACAAGTTGACCCATGTCTCGACGGGTGACACCGCGGGCTTGGATCTGGTGGAGGGTAAGGTGCTTCCTGGTGTTGCTGCCCTTCACGACCAGTGAATGGATAGGTCTGTGATGCACGAATGGGTATGGCCACGAGGTGTGAATGAGGCAGAAAGTGTAGCTGCTGTTAGATGAGTAGGATGTATAACACCTGGCATAGAGCATCTGAAAGTTAATTGATTTTTCTTGAAGTACAGAGCTGCCGAAGGCTGTCCAATGATCCAATATGGAATAAGAATAGACTACTTACAGCAGCATCGAGTCGTTCCAAACAAAGGCTCCTTTCTCAAGTGACCATAAGGCAGTTTATCCGACAAGCCAAAGATGTCCTCCACCCAACATTTTTTACCATGTTCTCCCAGATTGACGCCCCTGGGGGCTGTCCCTTGCTCCATTTTGAGTAAGCTTTCATTATGAACTATTCACAGTTTCTATACATATTTGCCAAATTCGTTTACAGTTTAGGATGAAAAACTTGGCTTTTGCGGAGCGGAGTCAAGCCAAGTCCGTCCATGTCATCCCACAGGCCCACTTGATCTACAGCAGACCCTCCCCTCAATCAACGCCGCAGCACGTGCGTCCTGCCAGCCAAGCCGTTACGTGCGCAACCACTTTATTGTCGCGCGGAACAAACCAGCGGGGCGCAGAGCATGCGCAAGTTTCACTTGAACAAGGGGACCCTTGGCAGAAGCAAACACAGCAGAAAGGGCACACTCCGCGCCTCGTTTCATCACCTCTTTGCCCGTCTCGTCTCCCTCTCCCATCTCCTAGATGTTGGTTTCGCGCCATATTGCCATATCAGCAGTGGCTCCACTTTGCTAAACCTCGTACAAACCGTTTGTTAGCTGTATGTTACCCTCTTCAAACGATCCGAAACTTACGTAACCGTAGTAATCAGGGTGAGGGTGAACTTATCTGGTGCGTCAGAATAGTGAAGTTTGCCTGTCAGCTCAGCTCGCTTGTCATCCCAGTTGTCAGAAAAGTGGCATAGCAGTTCTCATGAGTAGTGTCATCGTGGCATTGACCTAACCAGCGGAGTTGTGCAATAACTTATTGCTGTGCAACGCTGCGTGAGGTAGAAATGTGCTGCGAGATAACGGAGTTGAAGCATTGTTGGAGAATGTGCACGCACATCGTGAGTTAGGACTAGATACCAATTTGCCGGAGTCTATATTTAATATAAATGATGGTAGAAACGCTCAGACTCACCGAGGCGCCTGGTTTTCTAACACTCTGGAGCGTAGCATGCAGATACCCGCGTGCAGGGGACTACCGCCATAGAACCTAAATCTGACAAGTTTCCCTCTACCTGCTTGTTAGCTCTTTCTCGTTCGCAATCTGCTTCCCGCATTGTCAGCAGCAGAAGCTGTCACTCTTCGTTTCTAAGTGTCAAGTGTCATCAGTCTACCACTGCTTGCGTTCACAGTGCCCCAAGTTTCAATACTGAGTTCTAGGTTCGATGCCCTTAGTCCGTTACCAGACGCTACTAGACAGCAGCTCAGGGATACCCATTCAGTCCGAGCGACCTGTTGCTGTAACGACCTTCGCTCCTGCTTCTTCTGCCGCCTTTCTTCCAAGTTACCGCTGTCGCCGCTGTTCGTTAATGTCGCCACCGTGAGCATTTCACAAAACGCCCGCGGCATTACTAGTAGCTATCACTACGCACCCCCCTATGAGGAATAGCTTGATGTCCCCGTTATAGCACGGATTAGAAGCCCTTATTGTCGAGCCCACGAAGGGCACGAGCGTGTCGCGAGACGGCCGCAACATCAACAACTGTCGTTGCTGTCTCTTATGACGTCGTTAATGTCGCCATCGCCAGCGTAAACATGACCCTAGACGACCACAACATCAGCAGCTGTCGTTTCGCCTCGTGCAACACCTCGTTCGCCTCAGATCGCGACGGGGACGGCGGAGATCAGGCCCTGAAAATCCAACGGTCAGGAACGTCCCGTGTGATGGAGGGGGAAGAAGCGGAGAGCAGCCAGGAAATTAGGGTTTCTGCTGCCGTTACTAGCGAAATGATAGAAGATCCTGTAGCAAAAAGTCTTTCCGATTCGAGACGGGACAGCAGCGGCAGCAGCCATGAAGAGCTCGTACGCGATGCCAACGCTTCGCTACCAGAGGTAAGAGGGTTATTAATGGAAATACTACAATTGTAAAAAACTTACGATGAAAGAGTGTGTCTTGAGGCGTTTGGAGACGTCTCAAGTGTGTTGGTAGACTCAAATAGATGCATTATTATCCAGTGTGTGTAAGCGACAGGATGTTCCCTCTCTTAATCTTCTTTCCTTCACTTCCGTTTCTGAACCATTCTCCTCGTCCTCCTTCTCCCGGCGGTCCTCCTTCCCATCGAACCCTAGCCAGCTTCCACCGAACCTGCCTTCCATCCTATCCTGCCCCCCGCCCGCCCTCCCCAGCTGCGCGCGCCATTTCGCGCCACACCCGGCGGCAGGCGGACGCCGTCCTGCCCGCCCTCACCTCCTTCCCCCGTCCCTCCCCCACTCCCCCTTACTCCCCCACCCCCCCGCCTCCACGGCTGCTGCGCGCCTTGTTGCGCCACACCCGGCTCCAGGCGGAAGCCGTCCTACCCGCCCTCACCTCCTTCCCCTCTCCCTCCCCTCCCAACCCCTCTCCCCCCACTCCCCCTCCCCCAGCTGTTGCGCGCCTGCTCGCGCCACCCCCGGCGGCAGGCGGACGCCGTCCTGCCCGCCCTCTCGCGCCTGCTGGACCTCCAAGCGCGCCTCACAGCCGCGCGCGCCCCCCTGGGGGGAGCCCCGCGCGCAGAAGGGGAAACTGAGAGAGTCGAGGGGACTGAGGGCGCGGAAGTGAGTGCAGGAGGGGGAGGGGGGAGGGGTGAGGCTGGTAGGGAAGGAGGGGGAGGTGCAGCAGCAGAGGAAACGTCACTAGTGGCAGCACCAGCAGCGCCACCAGAGTTGTCACCGTGGCAGCAGCTGGAGGAGCAACTTTCTTTGGACGAACCAGGTAAAAGCCTAGCAAGTGAAACTGGTCAAACCAGTCAAACCGGTCAAACTGAGTTGGCCAGTCAAGCAATTCAAGCAAGTCAAACCGCCGAAGGCTCCCTACAGGAGATTCAAACCCTCCTTTCCCGCATAGACGCACCACTCTCCCACGCGCTAGACCTGCTCGAGCAAGAATTCACAACCGTCCTATCCAATTCCAACAGAAAGCTCAACCTCCACATTCTTAAAGCCGCACTTCACATGCAAAACCTCGCGATTCTCCCCAGCCCGAGAACCCGGGGAGGAGGAGGGGCGGGAGCAGGTGCAGGTGGGAGCGCGGCAGGTTTCGGGGCAGGGGCAGGAGGGAACCGCCGGGGGGGGTCGTTTTCGGTTACGGGGAATCTGTTCTCTAAGGGTTTGGGAGGGGACGGGGGAGAAGGGAGTGGGGGAGGGAAGTATACCCCATCTGGGGCTAGGCCACCCCCCTCGCCTTCCTCCCCTGCTAACAAGCAGCATGGGAGAGCCGCGAGCCAGTTTCTGTTTGATGATCCGATGCTGATTGAGTACAACGCGTCGCTGTCCGCCCGAGCCTCCTCGCCGCTAGGCTCGGGCCGAGCCTCAGGGACAGGTTCGGAAGGTGGGGTGGCGGGCGGTGGGGGGAGTGTGGGGGCGAGTGGGGGCCCTGGTCCGTCTCTGTTGTCCCCCATGGGTGGTGGGACTGGGTCATCTCTTTTGTCTCCTGTGGGGTGTTCTACCCCTCAATCCACGCTCTCTGATGCTGTGCTGACGGCTACTGCTAGCAGCAGCACGAACACGAGCAGCAGTAGCATTGCGGCTGTGAGTGGGCCGTTGGAGACTTTGTTTATTGGGTCGGATGTGGCAGGAGCAGTGGGGGCAGCAGGTGCAGCTGCTGCTGTTGATGGTGTTAGCAGCATTGGCGTGGTTGAAGGAGGAGGGGGTGTGATGAAATCCCGATCTGCCACCCAGCCAACTCTGCAATGCTCCTCCTCCTTTCCTGTCCAAGAAAACAAGCTCGGAATCGTATCGTCTAATTCCTTATCCCTGCCTCGCTCTGCTGCTGCTAGTGCTGTTGGGGATGGAGACTCCACCGCTCCGCCCCCTAGAATCACCATTCCCCCAGTTTATTCCGATGGGTCTGGGTGTACTCCCACCGGTATAGTCATGCCCACTTTTGGAGCAGCTGCTGCTGGTGCTGCTTGTGCTACTGGTGCCGCTGCTGCTGATGGTGCTTCGGCTGCTGCTGGTGATGCAGGTGCCATCGTCGCAGCAGTAACAGCAGCGGAAACAGCCCCAGAAGCAGCAGCAGGAGGAGTAGCAGGAACAGTCTCTGCTACCGCTGATGCCGAACCTGCTGCTCAGACTGCCGCCGCTGTTGCTGCTGGCGCTGGCACTGTCGCTGCTACCGCTGCTGCTGTTGGCGCTGCCGGTGCTGGAATTGGAAATATGTTGGGTAAGGGAGCTGCTGCAGGAGTAGCAGCAGCAGGAGCAGGAACAGCAGGAGCAGCAGGAGTGGCAGGAGCAGCAGGAGCAGCAGCGATATGCAAGGAGCTACAGGCAGTGGGCGAGTGGGCGGAGTGGTTGCCGGTGGTAGAGGTGCCGTGGCTCAGCAGGGCGGCTGCTGTGGTCATCCGAGCGCGAGGCAAGCAGCACTTTGCTGCGCTCTACTGGTGAGTCAGTGCGTGGGGTGGCAGGTGAGGTGGGCTGGGATTGAGTGGGCGAGTGGGCGAGTGTGGCAACGGTGGCAAGTGCGGTGGAGAGTGTGAGCATGAAGGAGTGCACAGCAGAGGAGACGCAGGCCATGGCGCGGGAGGGTGTGACAGGGCATAGCATGGCATGTCTATAACCCCTCCCTTGTGCCTCCCTTGAGTGTTTTTGCAGCAAGGCGCGCCAAGCAACAGTGGCGAGTGCAGTGGAGAGTGCGAGCATGAAGGAGTACACAGCAGAGGAGACGCAGGCCATGGCGTGGCATGGCATGGCTAATCCATCCATCCCCTTATGCACCTACTGCTCTCCCTCCTTCCGCCCCTTTCCTCCCCGGTGCAGCAAGGCGCGCCAGGCAACAGTGGCGAGTGCAGTGGAGAGTGTGAGCATGAAGGAGTACACAGCAGAGGAGACGCAGGCCATGGCGTGGCATGGCATGGCTAATCCATCCATCCCCTTATGCACCTACTGCTCTCCCTCCTTCCGCCCCTTTCCTCCCCGGTGCAGCAAGGCGCGCCAGGCAACAGTGGCGAGTGCAGTGGAGAGTGTGAGCATGAAGGAGTGCACAGCAGAGGAGACGCAGGCCATGGCGTGGCAGGGGATAGCAGGGCATGTCATGCTTGTCGATAACCCTTCCTTGTGCTTCCCTTGACTGTTATGCAGCAAGGCGAGGCAAGCAACGGTGGCGCGTGCGGTGGAAAGTGTGAGCATGAAAGAATATACCGCAGAGGAGACGCAGGCCATGGCGTGTGTTGTGTGGGGCATGCCATGGTGTGGCAGGTTTATAACCCTTCCTTCATGCCCTTTGTGTCTCTTTGACTGTCTTCCTCTTCCCTTGCGCCCCTGGCAGCAAGGCGCGCCAAGCAACGGTGGCGAGTGCGGTGGAGAGTGTGAGCATGAAGGAGTACACAGTAGAGGAGACGCAGGCCATGGCGTGGACGGTCCCTAAGCCTTCCCTTCTTGCCCCTTGTGCCTCTCTGCCCTTGCTCCCCTGGCAGCAAGGTGCGCCAGGCAACTGTAGCGAGTGCGGTGGAGAGTGTGAGCATGAAGGAGTGCACAGCAGAGGAGACGCAGGCCATGGCGTGGCAGGGGATAGCAGGGCATGTCATGCTTGTCGATAACCTTTCCTTGTGCTTCCCTTGACTGTTATGCAGCAAGGCGAGGCAGGCAACGGTGGCGAGTGCGGTGGAGAGTGTGAGCATGAAGGAGTACACAGCAGAGGAGACGCAGGCCATGGCATGGGCGGATCTAGAGCCGCTGATCAAGCTGTGGATCAGAGACATCAGCATCCTGGTGAGAGAGACATGGGGAGGCACAAGGGGCTCACAAGCATCCTGGTGAGCAAGAGGCATATGGGGGGAACCTGGCCAGGCCATGGCGTGGGCGGATCTAGAGCCGCTGATCAAGCTGTGGATCAGAGACATCAGCATACTGGTGAGTGAGCGGCACATGGCATGGCACATGGTGATCGCATGCAGTGCACGCCAGCACAAGGGAGCGGGGCGGGGGTATGTGCGGTACGTAAGCAGAGGAGACACACAGGCCATGGCGTGGGCTGATCTGGAGCCGCTGATCAAGCTGCGGATCAGAGGCATCAGCATCCTGGTGAGCCATGAGCAAGTTAAGGGCTCAGAATTAAGGTCTGTTTCTTCTTCTTACCCTCTCCCCCCTCCCCTGTCCTTCGCCTCCTTCACACCTCCTTCCCTCACCTCCTTCTTCCTTACCTCACCCCTTTTTCCCTTCCCTGTGTTTTTCCCTTCTTGGTTCTCCTGCTTCCCATGCTCCCCCCCACCAGCTGCGCGTTCTCTTCATCTCCGAGCATCAACTCATCAGTGGGGTGGGGTCCTCGACGCCTCTCCAACCGATTCCATTTCTCACCGTCCCTCCAACCCCTTATCCCACTCGGTTCCCTTGTCCCCCATGCTCTCCCCCACCAGCTGCGCGTTCTCTTCATTTCCGAGCATCAACTCATCAGTGGGGTGGGATCCTCGACGCCTCTCCAACCCCATCCCCTCCCTCACCCTCTCTCACCTCACCCTTGCGCGCTCTCCCTTGGCCCTCTTACCCTCCTCCCTACCCCTGTGTTTCCCATGCTTCCCCCCACCAGCTGCGAGTTCTCTTCTTTTCCGAGCATCAGCTCATCAAGGGCGTTCTCGACGCCTCTCCACCCACCAGCCATAGCAGCAGCAGCAGTGCCACCAGCGGCAGCAGTAGCGGCAGCAGCGGCAATAGCAGTATTGCCGGCGCTGCTGTTACCACCGTCATTGCTGTAGCTTCTGCACCCGACAGTGCTTCGACCCCAGCCGTTCCTGACTCTGGTTCGGATCTCCTCTCGCATCCTGACCCCATGTGTGAAACACCTGAAGAAACTCCTGAGCCTGCTCCCGAGGCGCTGAAGGCGAATGACAGCACGACCCACAGCACGTCCCAGAGCACACCTGAGAATACACCTGAGGGAGCACCTGAGAGCCCACCTGAGAATCCACCTGAGAGTACACCTGAGAGCAGCAGCAAGCGCACGGAGCAGGTTGCCCGGAAACCCGGGGAGCACCTGATGAGTCCGGACAGCGTGTTTCGGCATCTAGTGGGGTCGGTGGGCGGCGTGAAGTCGACCCTGTGTGCACTGTGTGCGAATGCTGCAGCCATTGCTGCGTCTAAGAGCGCCCCTGAGAAGATTTTTGCCCTGCTGGAGGCATACCGCACCGTGGCTGACCTCTCCCCACAGGTACGCCTGGTGCACGTGGTAACCAGTTACAAGAGGTGGTAACCAGATGGTCCTTCAGTGCAGTGCAGGAGGTAATACCCTCTCCTCTATGGCAGCCACTGAAAAGATCTTCGCCCTGTTGGAGGCATACTGCACCGTGGCTGACCTCTCCCCTCAGGTTAGTGGGTTACAAGAGTTGGTAACCAGCTAGTTACTAGAGGTGGTAACCAGTTATAATGAGAGGTGAATGCTGCAGCCATCGCTGCGTCTAAGAGCGCCCCTGAGGTGGTGGACATGTGGACATATCACCTCGTCTCGTAGTTAGGGTAACTCTACTGTCGTACATGGTAACACTGTAACTCATGAGTCAGTATCACAGTTGTTCTTCATCCTGACAATCTCAACACTCCCATGCTGTCGGCCTCTCCCACTTACTTCCCTTCTCCAACACCTTCCCCTCTCCCACTCCCCTCTCTCCCCCCCACCCCCCTTCTTTCCCTGACTCACCTTCCTTCCCTCCCAGCAGGAGGTTTTCCTCGCTCTCCCCAAGAGTGACTCAGACGATCCCTTCAAGCTCTGGCAGCGTCTCTAGCAGCTCCTGTTTCCTCCCCTCCCCTCACTCCCTTCCCCCATCCCCCCTTTGGCAGGCCCTTCCGGTCTTCCTCGCTCTCTGCAAGAGCGACTCAGACGATCCCATTCAAGCTCTGGCAGCGCCTGCCTCTCATATCCCCTGTCTCTCCCTGCTCTTTTGCCCCTTTTCTCTCTCCACCCCGCTTAAACAGGCCCTGCCGGTGTTCCTCGCTCTCCCCAAGAGCGATTCAGACGATCCTTCAAGCTCTGGCAGCGCCTCTCGCAGCTCTTTGCCGGAGCCATCTTTGCCACTCTGGACGACCTCAACCACCCCCACTCCTCCCCTTCCCTTCCCTCCTTCCTCCCTCTCTCACTCCCATCCCCTCTCCCCAACTCCCGTTCTCCTGTACCCTCTCCACTCCCCTCCCTCCACTCCCACTCCCGACCACCACCCCTTGGCAGGCGCTGCCAGTGTTCCTCGCTCTCCCCAAGAGCGATTCAGACGATCCATTCAAGCTCTGGCAGCGCCTCTCGCAGCTCTTTGCCGGAGCCATCTTTGCCACTCTGGACGACCTCAACCGCATTCTCAGGGACGTGGCAGCGTTTGTGCCGGCCAACCAGGCGTCCGGTAGCTCGCCCATGAAGAAGAAACTGCTCAGGTGAGAGGGGGATGAACACATGCGATGCATTAGGGGAAGAGAGCACAAGCTGGGCCATGGGAGGGTTTGTGCCGGCCAACCAGGTGTCCGGTAGCTCTCCCATGAAGAAGAAACTGCTCAGGTGAGGCTTGGTTGGGTGTAAGAATGCGAGCCTTAGGGTGCCACTGTGGCCGGCAAGTCCCTCCCAGCTCTTCGCCAGAGCCTTGTTTTCCCAAGTTCCCTAGGGTGGGCTGAGCCGCTCTCTTGCAGCTCGGGGACGTGGCGGCGTTCGTGCCGCCCAGCCAGGCCAGTGGCAGCTCTCCCATGAAGAAGAAGCTGCTCAGGTGAGCAGAGGTTATGGTCAGAGTGGGACGGCTGTATCCTCAGAACCTCCGGGAAGTGGGTGGGGACGTTTGTACCGGCCAACAAGGCGTCTGGAAACTCTCCCATGAAGAAGAAGCTGCTCATGTGAGGAAGGAAGGGTTGGTGCAGGCAGTTCTATTGTTTTCTAAGGTGGTCAACCCCGGAGTCGAAATCCTTGAGGGGAATTTCACACAAGCCTCAAAGCTCATTCTCAGGCACGTTTTATGAATATTGAGGTGATGATTGATGGAGCCACAATTTCTCCCGTTCTTTTCACACTGCTTTGCCTCACACATACCCCTTATAGGCTGATTCACTGGAAGTCCTCGGAGCAGAAAACAACCAACGATGAAGAAGTGGATATTGGCGTGCATAAAGTGACAAGCTACGTTATTAACTTCATCGCACAACTAATGGATAGGGAGAGCCGAGCGGACCACTATGGAACCCTAGAAATGGTCTATAAGAGACACGCCGCGGATAAGAGGCTCATAGGCCTGGCTACTATAGGCGGGGCGAGTTTCAGGGAGAGGGGAGGGGGAGGGGGAGCGGGAGGGGGAAGCGGAGGGGGGAAGGCGGGGGGGAGCAGCGGGGGGAGCAAGACGGGGGGGAGTAAACTAGGAGCAGTGCATAGCGGCCAAGGGGGGCACAGCAGCAGAGGCATGCAGGGAAGCCAGGGCAGTCAAGGAAGTCAAAGCGGCGGTCAAAGCGGTGGTCAAAGTGGAGGTCAAACGAGTCAAGGCGGGAGTCAAGCAGGTCAAGGGGGGAATCAGCTGCAGCATCCGAGTGCGGGCGGCAGGCGCCAGCTGGCGGCGGAGATGGAGGGGTTGCTGGATTCTTTGTTATTCAACATGGAGGCGAGAGGGCGGGCGATTCAGGACCTCGCAATGGGGGCGCTGTTTGTGATGAACAACGCGCACTATGTGGCTGGCAGCATGTGAGTGTAAAGGGGGTAGCAGCATGTGACTATAGAAGAGGGGTGGCGGGAGGGGAGGATGTGAGTAGTGTGAGGGCGGGCAATACAGGATCCTGCGATGGGGGCGCTGTTTGTGATGAACAATGCGCACTATGTGGCTGGTAGCATGTGAGTGCATGAGTGAGTGGAAAATGTGAGTGTCGCAGCATGTGTGTGAGTATAGGGAGCAGTGTTTGTGATGAACAATGCGCACTATGTGGCTGGCAGCATGTGAGTGCATGAGTGAGTGGAAAATGTGAGTGTCGCAGCATGTGTGTGAGTATAGGGAGCAGTGTTTGTGATGAACAATGCGCACTATGTGGCTGGCAGCATGTGAGTGCATGAGTGAGTGGAAAATGTGAGTGTCGCAGCATGTGTGTGAGTATAGGGAGCAGTGTTTGTGATGAACAATGCGCACTATGTGGCTGGCAGCATGTGAGTGCATGAGTGAGTGGAAAATGTGAGCGTCGCAGCATGTGTGTGAGTATAGGGAACAGTGTTTGTGATGAACAATGCGCACTATGTGGCTGGCAGCATGTGAGTGCATGAGTGAGTGGAAAATGTGAGTGTCGCAGCATGTGTGTGAGTATAGGGAGCAGTGTTTGTGATGAACAACGCGCACTTTGTGGCTGGCAGCATGTGAGTGGGGCATGGGAGGCCATGTAAGTGGTGGGTGGCAACCTGCTGTGGGTGGCAACCTGCTGTGGGTTCTTCTGCCTCTGACAGGAAACAAACAAGAAAGAAACCTTGTGCCCCACGTTGCTCTCCTCTCTTTCCCTGTCTCCCCTCCGCCAGTGTTGCAACGAGGATGAAGGATGCACTGAAGCAGCAGGATTATGTCTCTCTGCTCCCTTCTCATCCCCTCGTTTTGCTGTCTTCTTCCCTCTTCCACCCGCCAGTGTTGCAACGAGGATGAAGGATGCACTGAAGCAGCAGGATTAAGACTCTCTGCTCCCATCTCATCCCCTCGTTTTGCTGTCTTCTTCCCTCTTCCACCCGCCAGTGTTGCAACGAGGATGAAGGATGCACTGAAGCAGCAGGATTGAGTCTCTCTGCTCCCATCTCATCCCCTCGTTTTGCTGTCTTCTTCCCTCTTCCACCCGCCAGTGTTGCAACGAGGATGAAGGATGCACTGAAGCAGCAGGACCGCATCGCAGCGTATGAGGCAGCATTCGATAAGGCAGGCCTGGCAAAGGTGTGTGGATTCGTGAGGGGTCGCTGCTAGGTGTTTTAGACAATGCTGAAGGACTGCATTGCAGCGTATGAGGCAGCATTCGATAAGGCAGGCCTTGCAAAGGTGTGTTGAGTGGTGAGAGTAATACACAGATTGCAACTCACACAGAAATGCTTCTGAAGCAGCAGGACCGCATTGCAGCGTATGAGGCAGCCTTTGATAAGGCAGGCCTTGCAAAGGTGAGTGCATTCGTGAGCAAGAGGTTTCCTGCACGGATTTCCAGAATCCCTAAGCCCCTGGGAGACTGTGTTGCAGATTATGGGGCAATCTTGGATCAAGGCTGTGAGTGAATTTTGTCGAGAACCTCTGTATAATCACGCCATGCATGTGCCCGTGCCTATAATGTGTCTGTGCTCCTGCTTTTGATGTCTTTCTCGCCCACTCACTCACTTCCCCCTCGCCAGCTTATATGACTCTCCTGCTGATTTCTCTCTCCATTCTCCCCTCCCACCAGCTCATGGCGTGCTTGGCGCCTGAGGAGGTGTCTGCAAAGCTCAGCGCGGATGCAGTCACTTTTGTGATGGGCCAACTCCAAAGCAATGCTCTCTCCCTCTCCCTCTTCCTTCTTTTCCCTTTCTCCCGCAGCTCATGGCGTGCTTGGCGCCTGAGGAGGTGTCTGCAAAGCTCAGCGCGGATGCAGTCACTTCTGTGATGGGCCAACTCCAAAGCAATGCTCTCTCCCTCTCCCACTTCCTTCTTTTCCCTTTCTCCCGCAGCTCATGGCGTGCTTGGCGCCTGAGGAGGTGTCTGCAAAGCTCAGCGCGGATGCAGTCAAATCCAGGTGTGTTGACCCTCGGCCCTTGACTAGTATATGTGTTGACTTTTCCTGACTTGCGTTGACCTGTGCTGACTTGGACTCCCTGTCTCTAACTGACTTGGAGCAAGCCGTTGGATGGTAATGGGCAGTTTGAGATCTCAGGCTTTCAGACATCTCCAGCGAGCAGCAGCGTAGGAGAGAGCTTTGCGTGGGAGATCATATGATACAAGCTGGTGCAAGCTGCTGATGAGAAGGACGGTGATGAGCAGTCTGAGATCTCAGACCTGAGCCATTGTAACGAGGTGACTTTTGAGTCGACTCAAAAGGCAAGCTGCTGGATGGTGATGAGCAGTCTGAGATCTCAGACCTGACTCATCTCTGTTGATGCTTTCAGGTTGAAGAAGTTCAACTCGGCGTTTGAGGAGGTGGCGTTGGAGCAGAGCCGTTGGATCGTGATCAGCGACTCGCAGAGGAAGAAAACGAGGATCTACTTTGCTCTTAGTTTGACTTGCATGGACTTGCATTGACTTGTGTTGCCCTCGTTTTACCCTGTCCGACTCTCTTCCTCTCAGGCTGAAGAAGTTCAACTCAGCTTTTGAGGAGGTGGCGTTGGAGCAGAACCGTTGGATCGTAATCAGCGACTCGCAGAGGAAGAAGACGAGGATTCGCTTCGCCCGCACGCTCAAGAACGCGTATTTGGAGTTCCTCACACCTCACAGGTGAGTGTTTCTTGTGCAAACACACAGACATACAGAGACGAACACGTACGTACACACATGCATCCACATACACACATAACTGCACCTCAAATCCGCCTACCTTCCCATCCCTCTTCTCCCCTCTTCTCACCCATCCTCCCCTTTTCTGTTTCCCCTTCTCCGGGGAAATCATATCGGACATTACGGCCTATCAGTGGTTGCCAGATGGCATCGAGAGCTATTGCTCCTGAAGTCCTATCATTAGAAAACCTGCTCAGTAACGTATACCCACGCATCCCTCCACTCCCTTCCCATCACCTCATCCCCTTTCTCAGGGAAATCATATCGGACATAACAACCTATCAGTGGTCGCCAGATGGCATCGAACGATTGATGCTCAAGTCTTTCTTCCTCGGCCGGAGCCTCCCTCTCATCATGACTGCTTGAGGATCATCCACCTTCTCTGCTGCTATGCTGCTGCCATGCACAATACGTGGGTCTCAACTTGCCTTCAAGCAACGGCCATAACTACCCCCTATCGTGACTCCGTCACCCCGCCTTAGTCACAGGCTGGTTGTGCGACCAACCAGCTAGGCCGGTGCGCTCTGTAGTTCTACTCCATGCCTCTCCTCCAAACTGCTGTTGATGCCCGGAGGGGAGTAATGTAATCACCGGTATATTCTATCAGGTTACAGTACTGTTAGTGCCATGCCTCTATGGCCCCCCCCAACCATGCTGCCATGCATGCATGCTATTCCAGTAGGTTGGATGTGCCTGCCATGCCACGGCCGCCACCACCACTCGAGCTATTGCATGAAAGCTCGAGAGGAAGATGCTAGGTGATGTAAGAGCGACGCAATTACTCTACAAACTCCCTATTGGCTGTGCTGTTTCAGTGTAGCAATTTCAGTAACGCATTGGTTTGTCTTACGCAAGATGGTGGCCAGTTTGTTCTGTCTAGTCCAGGTGGTACAAATGTGCCTTTGTTCTAGCAGTGTTATTTGCGCAGCAGAAGGGGAATATGATTGGCACACTGAGTACCTACCAACAGGTGCGGCAGCGACAGTGGAGAAGAGAAGAGTGATGCGACAGCAGCCAGCTACCAATGGTTTTTCAAGTGCCTTCTCCTCTTGCTTCTCAGACATGTTTGCTGCTCACTGCTCAGTTCCTTGTGCTCCTCCTCAGAAAGGCTCACATCAGACTCGACGCCCTCACATTCCAGGTAAACTCGTCTAATTCAGCCCTTGTTGAACCTCACAGCCCTTCCATGTTCAACGGTTTTACAGGTTCATCGTTGCACTAGTTGTTTGTAACTCATCAATTCACAATTGAAACAACCGATACCACAATACAATAATGGTAGGTGGTTCTGATCAGCTTTCGCACACGGTTTCTCCCTCCAGTGTATGTTATCCCTAGTTAGTCACAATAAGTGGTGTAAAATAACAGAAAAGCTTCTACTCTCTCAGCTAGTCGCGGCCATTGTGGATGCTCCTTATTGAGCATTTTATGAGCAACGAATAATGGTACAATCAAGTGAGCATACCCATTTTAGCTGATACTGCACCTGCCATCAACGGAGATATGTTCGAGTCTAGGTCCTCCCCACACACACATGCCAGATCTGCACGGTGGCCAGGATATGCTAGTGGCTGGCAATCTCTGAGGAAATCCATCCATTTTGCCGGAGACACTGCTGGCAGCGGAAACTTGCCAGAGGCGACGTGTCTTTTCATGTTTTTCACTGCGGGCAGCGGGAATGACCAGCAGAGAGTTGTTCACTGCACACTGTAGACACCTGATTGCGGTGCATTGATTCGCTTGCATTGCACCCCCTGCTCGTTGAAGAGACAAACCCTTGAGCTGGCTCGACGAAATCAAGGACTCGAATCCCAGGAAAGAGGAAGAGTGAATCCCGCTAGCCGGCAAACCATTGGGATTTCATGGGAGGCTCAACCAATCGTGAGAAAACAACGCCACGGCTTATCCTCGAACTTGACAGCATTCCGTTATGATGGTTGGTGATGAGGCGGTGACCGGCAGGCAACCCTCGAGTAATCAGTCAAGCGTGCATTCATGGGTTTTTAGTTTTCACGGAAGGGTTACTGTAGCTGTCTTTCTTTTGAGGGACTTTCATCTCAACTTGCGCACACTTTCCGCAGATCCGCTTCTGAGACGGAAGAGTTATCGTGCTAACACAGAACTCGGCTTCTCCGCATGTCACGCAAGCACTGTTTTCGTCGACAGTTTTCTGCCAACAAGCACAAAACTAAACCCCTCTCGGATGGCAAGTTTTCAAGGGCATCAACCCTAAACACCACGCGACAAGGCGTTTAGGGTTGATGCCCGCCAAGTGGGATATAATTTTGGGGCATCAACCCTAAACACCTAGTCGCAAGGTGTTTAGGGTTGATGCCCCAAATTTAACATGCAAGCCAAGAGGGATTTAGTTTGGCATCAACCCTAAAAACTTAGTCGCAAGGTGTTTAGGGTTGATGCTCTTCATTACCATGCCAGCGGAGAGGGATTTAGTCTAGTACGAAAAAAAAAACAAAATAGTGCTGTGCACCGTTTGCCTGAGTAGCAACAGAAATGGATTCCGAGATGATGACACGTGGGTTAATGTGGAGACGAGTTCTGTGTTAGCGCGATAAGTCTTCTGTCTCGGCAGCGAAACCTGGGAAACTGTGTGCTGGTAGAGACGAAGGTCCCTAGAAAGCGCAGGTTCGGAAGTACCTCTTCTGCCGTAACTAAAAACCCTGCATTCATCGGCTTTCGTGATTCGTGGGTGTGCCCCCCCCACCCCCCCGAAGATTCCAAGGAGACCGAGCACAGTGCTGCCCGGTCAGGTTGGTGATACTGCCCGAAACTCTGTACCTTTCCGCGAGGTCTCCTGCTCAGCCCCACAAAGAGAATCTCCATTTTTTCCGTCTCTCACAGACGGAATGCTGGGATATGGAAAATCTATGGCTGGAAAAATCTGCGGGTGGGCTCACCTGCATTCCAACCACCAACCAAACTCGCCTGGCCTCCTTCCTTCTTGATTCACTCAAGTCTTGACTTCTGAGCCATTTTAGCGGTGAGCGAGCAGGCTATTGTTTGTGGTGGTTTCAAGTGGAGTGTTAGACCCTCTTTGAAGCTTAGTAGGGAACTTAGTAGTTGCTTTCAGCCAGCTGTCGGAAATTTAAACATGACGGCTCGGAATGATGACGGTGACGGGCTATCTCTCGGGCTCTCCACGAGAAACGACGCGTGGCGAAACTGTGGCGATTGGGAGGCCACTTTGCCAACTAAGGAGGAGTTAGTTCCTCTTAACCAACGCCTTATTACTCCTATGCTCGCTGCTGCGTTCAGCATTAAGGAGTCAATGTACAACGTTACAGAGCAAGACGTCGAACGTGCTGCACAGGTCAACATTCTTTCGCCTATTTTTGAGTTGACTTGAAATTATTATTTTGCACAACTTCGATGTTTGCTCTGCCGTTACTAATTTCATAGGAGATTCCTGGTTTTAGCGTGAAAGCTGTTTATCAGTCTTTAAGGACGACCGTAGTTTAGAGTTTCGTAGCATATTAAGGCTAGGTCGCCTGCGAGCCAGTCTCACAATAACGTCTCGCGATTTGGCCGAAGTGGAGTTTCGACTTTTGCTTTCGCTTTCCTCGCTCGCCATCTGTTTCATCGGTTCCGACGTGTTTTAATGAATTGCTTATTTTGTTTACGTTATATCCCTTCGTGTCCAGGCCACGTTGAACAACATATTGCAACATCCCAGGTTAACTACACGACCGGAGATCGTTCCTCCCAGCTTGAATCACCCTCAGTTTCAGTCTCTTCACACGGGAGCCTCCCGAGCCGCCGCTCCGTCTAATCACCCTCCTCCTGCGGACGCGTCTCCTTTCGCGAACGCTCCTTCGCGACCGTCGCACGACCAGGAGCCGTTGGAACGCGGGCGGGATGAGCGGAGCCGGCGAGAGTTTGACACCGCCGACCGTTTTGTTGATGATGACCGCGCGCCAGTGCCGCGTGCAGAGCAGGAGAGGCTGGAGCAGCGACGCGAGCACTTGCACGGGAGGCAGCAGCAGCTCCAGCGGGAGCAGCAGAGGGAGCAGCAGCGGAAGCAGCAAGGGGAGCAGGGTAATCAGAGGCAAGAGTTTGAAAAAGAGGAGCAGCGACAGCGGCAGGAGAGGCAGCAGCGGCAGCAACGCGAGCAGGAGGAGCAGCGCGAACATTTTTCTGCGTCAACTGGGGCGGAAGCGATGCGCGGGGAAGGAGACAAGCGGGCGGCCGCTGCGCTGTTCCCCGGCTATCAGAGGGCTCCCCGCGACCAAGAGCCTAGACGCGGGAATTTTGACGCACAGAGGTTCTATAACGAAGCGGATCGCAAGCTTTCCAACGAGGATGGTAGCAAGCGTCCTAACGAAGACTACCCGTTGGCGCCTGGACAGGATAGGTCTCAAGCGCGTATACCATACCAAGACGGCAGGCTCGGCAATACCATTGCTCCTGATGATCGTAACCGTTCAAGCGCCGGGTTCGGCCCAGGGGGATTACGAAGCGCTCCTGGTGACGTGGACGCCAGGTTCGGAGGGTGGAGACATGAAGGGGGTGGCTCGGAAGCAGGTTCGGACGGAGGCTCGGGTGGTGAAGAAAGGGGGTCTTTGGGGGAAGGGTTGAGGCGCACCGGTGAGGGGATTGATAATGTGCAAAAGGGTCGGAATGGGGGGTTCAATAACCTGGGTGGAAATAGTGGGGGGAATAACCCTAAAAATTTGACAGCTTCTGGAAGGCGGGTGTCGGAAAATGGACCGGAATTTTCGGGAGATGGAGGGCAGGCTCGCAGGGAGGAGACTGAAGGACTGAGGGAGAGGGGGAGAGAGAGGGGGTGGGAGCGAGAGAGGAAGAGGGAAAGCCAAAGGGAGCGGGAGAGAGGAAGTGAGGAGGAAGATGACGAGGATAGGGAGAGGGATTGGCAGCGAGAGAGGGGTGGAGATAGGTCAAGAGAGGTGGAAGGGCGGCGGCAGCAGCAGCGGGAAGGGGGAGGGGGGAGCCAGAGGGACGGAGGGGGGGGGATGAGCAGGGGAGGTGTGAGCGATAGCGTGGGGAACGGGAAGGGTTTGAGTATGGACGAGGGGGAGGGGAGGAATGGGAGCCTTAGGAGTGGAAATGCGAAGGAGCGGATGCAGGAGCAGCGGCAGCAGGAGGAGCAGCAGGAGGGTGGGGGCAAGAGGGCGAGGAAAGGGAAGGACTCTTCGCCTGAGCCGGATGAGGATTCAGGTGGGTTTGTGTGCGAGCGCGTGTGCGTGCGTGCATGTGTGTGAGGGTGGCGGGAAGAGGGCGAGGAAAGGGGGACTCGTCGCCTGAGCCGGATGAGGATTCCGGTGGGTTTGTGTGTGCGTGCGTGTGTGCGCGCGTGTGTGTGTATGTGTGCGCGCGCGCGCGCGCGCGCGTGTGTGTGTGTGTGTGTGTGTGTGTGTGTGTGTGTGTGCGTGCACACATGCGGCCGTGCAATATAACTCCCTTATGTGCTCCTGTTCGCTGTCATGTTGCCCCATCCGCATCCATCCGGATGGACCTGCATCTATCTGCATCCATCTGCATCTATCCGCATCCATCCGAACCCATGCACCTGGCACGCTGCTATTGGTTCTGACACATGCCAAGAGCCCATTCGCGCCCATCCATTCATCCACTTGGCAGGCAATCAGGAGGGCAACAGCAGCGACGGCCAGCCACGCACTCTCAAGCGCCCCAGGCTCGTCTGGACCCCACAGGTACAGCAAACCATCTCCCGTCCCGCCCTCTCGTCCCGAGCTCCCGTCCTGTGCTCTCTTCCTGCTCACTCATCCCGCCCTCTCGTCTCGTTCTCCTTTCCCGTCCCCTCGTCTCGCCCTCTTCTCCCTTTCTCTTTCTCCCATGTTCCCTCACCATGCCCTCCCCAGCTGCACAAGCGATTTGTGGACGCTGTGTCGCATCTGGGCATCAAGAACGCCGTGCCAAAGACTATTATGCAGCTCATGAACGTGGAGGGGTTGACAAGGTGAGAGGGGAGCATGGGGAAGGGCTCACGTTGTTCCATCCGTGTCGCATCTGGGCATCAAGAACGCTGTGCCAAAGACTATTATGCAGCTTATGAATGTGGAGGGGTTAACAAGGTAAGTGTGGGCCGTGTGGGTGTGTGCGGGTGCGGGTGCGGGTGCGGGTGAGGGTGGAATAACATATACTTAGTATCCTTCATACGAACTTCATACTGCTGTCAAGACTTGTAATTCCACCTCTCGTAAACATACTTAACTAAACATTCGTTTTCTTTCTTCGGATCCTCTATCCCGCCTTGCAATAACCTCCCTCACCCCCCTCTCCCCTGGCTACCACTCATGCAGGGAGAATGTGGCATCACATTTGCAGAAGTATCGGCTCTACCTTAAGCGGATGCAGGTGAGATGGAGAGAGATGGAGAGAGGTGGGATGAGATGGAGAGAGATGGAGAGAGACGGAGAGAGACGGAGAGAGACGGAGAGAGACGGAGAGAGACGGAGAGAGACGGAGAGAGATGGAGTGAGATGGAGTGAGATGGAGTGAGATGGAGCTAAGATGGAGGTGAGATGGAGCTAAGATGGAGGTGAGATGGATGGATGTCAGAATTAGCAGATATTTTGACCCCACCCCAAGCAAGAATGGGCAAGATAGTTTTTCGACTCTCATCTCTCCCTTCGTCTCTTCCTTTCCGCTCTCATATTCTCCCTTCTCAGGGTCATTCCGGGGACGACCCGTCAGGGGGCGATCCCCTCTTTTCCTCCACGCCTCTCCCCACCAGCCTCAACAGCCCGCCCCAGCCTTTCTTCCCCCCATCCGCCCCGCCTCCTCCCTCCGCTCCTCCCCCTCTCAACCCTCTCGCTGCCGCCGCTGCCGCCGCCGCAGCAGCAGGGGGAAACCCTATGGGGAACCTCAGGGGAGCTCTATCCGCGTTAGGAGCAGCAGGGCTGTCTTCCCTCCCCCCTTCACTCCATCCAGACGACCCTCTCCTCTCCTCCCCTCATTTCTCCGCGGCGGCTGCTGCTGCTGCCGCCGCCGCCGCTGCTGCTGCAGCCGGAGGGGGGTCCAACCCACTGCTCTCTTCCCAGCTAGCTGCGTCTCTTTCGAATTCCCAGCAGCAGCAGCAGCAACAGCAGCAGCAGCAGGCAGCAGCAGCGCAATACCTTGCGGCGGCTCATAACCCGGTGGGGAATCCGCTTGGTGCCGCTGCTGCGGCTGCGGCTGCTGCAGCAGACCCGATTCTGGGGCGAGCGCTGAGTGCTTATGCGGCAGCTGCTGCGTTTTACGACCTTCAGAATAGTCACGGGCAGAATAATCTCGGGCAGAATAATCATGGGCAGAATAGTCTCGGGCAGAACAGTCATGGTGGGGCAGGTTTGGGGGGAGGCGCTGGTGGGGGGATGCATGGGGGGGGAGGGCTTGGGGGGATGCATGGGGGGGGAATAGGTGGGGGGCATGTGGGGGGGATCGGGGGAGGGTCGAACCAGCCACCAGGAGCGGCGGCGGCAGCGGCGGCGGCGGCAGCGGCAGCGGCAGCAGCAGCAGCCGCACAGCAACAAAGGTCACCCTCCCTCCCCTTCAACCCGTCCCAGTTCAATCCTTTACTCTCGGCAGCTTCAGGGGGAATGGGGAGCCTAGGGCCTGGGGGAGCGGGGATGGGGGGAATGGGGAGCTTGGGGGCTGGGGGAACAGGGCCCGGGGGAATGGGGAGTCTAGGACCTGGGGGGATAGGGCAGGGCGGAATGGGGAACCTAGGGATGTCAGCAGGGGGGTTGGGGAATGCCGGTAGTGGCAGTAGATTTGGGCATATGAGTCATGCCAGGGATATTTTTGGCCGGGATTTCCCGGGTGCTGGGTTGGGGGGAGCAATGGGAGGGGATATGGGAGGTGCGGCAGCTGCAATGGCAGCAGCTGCGGCCGCTGCTGCTGCTGCGGCGGCGGCAGGTTCGGCAGGAGGAGGAGGGGGAGGGGGAGGAGGGGCGGCTGCAAGGGCACCGTCACCGGCTCGACAGGTGCTGAGCCTCTTTCCAGAGCAGCAGTGAGGGAGGAATGGTTGTGTGAGGAATAAAAGATTCAGCAGGAGGAGGAGGGGGAGGAGGGGTGGCAGCAAGAAGGGCACCGTCACCGGCTCGACAGGTGCTGAGCCTCTTTCCAGAGCAGCAGTGAGGGAGGAATGGTTGACTATTGTTGCTACTCGGGAAGGAAGGGCGAAGGGGGGGGGAAGGAAGGAGGGGCAGCAGGAGAAGGTCAGCACTGTCGCCGGCACGGCAGGTGCTGAGCCTCTTTCCAGAGCAGCAGTGAGGGAGGAGGGGTGGAGGTCGTTTCTTTTTCAGAGCAGCAGTGTGAAAGAAGAGTGCTGGGTATTTTTCTTCATGGAGCAGCAGTGAGAAAGGAACAATGGAGGGATTTTTGCAGGAGCAGCAGCAAGGGAGGAATGGTGGAGAGCTTTTACAGGAGCTGCAGTGAGGGGGGGAATGCTGGAAGGATTCTGCAGGAGCATCAGTTGCGGGGAATGCTGAAGGGTTTTTGCAGGGGCAACTGTAGGAGGGGGGGAAGAATGCTGGAGGGTTATTGCAGGAGCAACAGTGGAGGGGAATGCTGAAGGCTTTTCACAGGAGCAGCAGTGAGGGGAAGAATGCTAGGGGGTAGATGGGCAGCTGTGCTACAGCAGGCCGCAGGTCGTATTGGGGAACATGGTCTGTACTGCTCCTGCTGAGCTTGTTAGGCAGAACCAGCAAGGTTTCAGGCTTTTGGACAAACATCGGGCATACTGCTGCGGCTGCAGCAGCAAGTGGGTAGAATATAGTGTTTGGCGAGGAATTTTCCTTCACCGTTTGCCAGGGTTTAGGATATGATGCTGAAACGTGAGACTGCATTTTCTGATGTTGGGCTGTTGCTCTGCCTTGAGTGTAGTATATAAGAGCTTATTCTACGGCCTCATATCAGGCCACCTCGTATCAAAATTGTACCTTTTGCCTGGTAAACTAGCGAGAGGTTTTGGGTTTAAGAAATTTTCAGTGTCAGCCTGATATGAGGTTCTCTTTCTAGGAATACGCTCTAAGATGCTAGGCTGGGTGAGAAGCTTGTCCAACGATGTCTGTTGACGTAACGGTACAAAGAATAGAGCAAAGCAGGTACCGGTACGAACTCTGGTGTAAATTTAAAATGATAACTGAACACATCTTGTTCAGATTAAACTAGGACTACCCAGGAAACAATACTATTCCGGTAAGTTGAATATTCAGGGGACATTCACATTAGTATAATATTCTTTGTATAAAATCAGTGGACATTCACATTTGTTGAAGCATTCCTAACGATACAGACCACAGGAAAATGGCTCCTGCAAGACAAAAAACGACGTTTCCATTACAGGCTTAGATATGACCAAGAGGGAAAGAAAACGATAACAAAATGACAGCAAGATATCAGCTGGCCTCAGACATTGTCAGGTGAGACTGTATTTGGCATCACAGCATGCCCAAGGCATGTCAGGATAGCGACGTTTATTCTCATCACTGGCCAGCTTTGAGTGTCATATGGGAGCATGATACAACAACGATTCATTAGCAAGACATAACGAACGACCAATGCGTACCAGAATAGAAGCAAGCTCCCGAGGGGAGAAGGTTGCAGGTACAGGGATCAATCAGCAGATTCTGTTTCTGACTTCTGGAATTCCAACTTGGCCAGCATCACGGGACCTGGAACACAGATGGGAAAACATCGAAGGTCGTTAGTATTAGAAACGAAAGACCGATTAGAACCGTGAGGACCTGGCCGATGAAATGAAATTGTTGGTAGCCCGTTCGAGATTACTGCAAACTGATATCATTGCGCAATCCCGGAGTAGGGCTGTCTGCTTGATAATCCTCCATTCTAAATCGTTCCATGCGACAAGATCGCACATGTCGTTCTGCTGAACGGAGGGGTAAGCCTAATGTAATAAACGAAATGAAAGAAAGTCGCGACCGCTGATTCATGCGGCTCAGATCAAGAGATTCAACCGTTTTGTCCAATCGTCACAGTTCCCTCGAAAGGGATCGGCAGCGCGGATAAGGTCACATCATAGCCGACACACCAGACATTTTTAAAGGGCGACGCGAAAACTCAACGAAAAAAACACGATGAGGATCAAGAGAGAAAGAGAGAGAAAATGTGGCTTGAATGCTCAGGGACAGAGGAAGGTTAAATAACATCAACGATGATCAGCACCCTAAAGTTTGTGCATCACTGCACAGCAAGCCACCAAATGATCACCGAAGAAAATTGCAGTTGAAATAAATAGCAGACACAGCTGATGTACCACATCGACACGGACTTGGAAAGAGAATGTGGAATGTGCAAGAGAGCTCAGGGAATTTAACCAGTGGACATCAAAAGAATTCAGAAGCAGAACTGGCGTTTAAACTGGTTTGAAAATCATCAACGCTCCCAGACATTGCGAAAAAGGAAAATGTATATCTCAAAAGGGACCTCAGTAAAAGCCGCTGTTTCTCTTCAGAAGTAGCAAGCTACTGATTTCAGACGGTAATTCCATAGCGATCATCAACGGCCCCGGTAATAAAAAAACGTAATGAAGGGCGTCACCAAATAGCCCTTACAAAGTAACGTCCGAAGAAAGGGGTAGAACGAGCGGTGCAGATCGATAACCAGAGAAGGGAGTATTGTGGCTACTCACATTGATGTCACTTGCTCCGGCATGGTAGAAAAGCTCCCCGTCATTTGCATTGCAAGAGTCAGTCGAGCTGGATTACATGACGCCAGCAGCTGGAGATATCTTCGCACAAGTCTTCTCTTGAGGACCCGTTGTCAGTCGCCATAACATACGAATGAGGGAAGATGTCGCCGATGGCAACCCATCACTTCAAGTCCTGGAGCGGAGACCGCAACCATATGGAGCAAGGACACTGAGGGAACTTGGAATAAGAACAACCAGAATTGAGATTATGAAGGTGAAAGACGGAGGGGTTGGGGAAATGAGAATGGATGGTGGTGGGTGCACTGGGGGGACGCAGTGGGGTTTTGGGTGCGGCTGGATGGGAGAGATTCCTGCAATCCTCGTTGCAATCCGGTGTTACTGGACATAGCGATGCAAGTATACAGTATCCGAAATTGGGTGAAGTTGTGTTATTCCCCAAATCCTCCAAGTGATTGAAGTTGGATAATACCCCGAACCCTTCAGTAAAGAACATACATATGTGATTATGCATCTACCAGTATTCCCCATGAATGTTGCGCGATCATTGGGCTAATCATTTTGTTAAAGGAATGCCCATGGGCTATCCTATTCGTGATACAGTTACATGGTATAACATTGTATGGAGAAATTAAAGTGTACACTCAATACTTCCCTAACATCTACCCATCCCTCTTTCACCTACCCCTTGGCTTAGGCACCAAGGGCGAAGGGGACGCAGGAGCATTAGGCTTCAGAAACTTAGGAGGGGCATACCCACCTTTCCCAGCTCCCGCCACATTTCTATTTTCCCCGCTCGAGCCATTAGGGGTTGCTGTGCTTGTAGAGGATGCGTTACTAGTGGGTACGGGCTCCCTGCCCTCCTCTAGAAGCACTGCCTTGTGACTCAATCGCAGCTGACCTCTTGCATTGATCTGCGTTGGTGGATGGGGAAGAAAGGGGGAGGGAGAAAAGTAGGGAAGGCATGGTGGGTGGGCATGTGCAAGACAAAATGATCATGATAAAACGAGCAATCGACGAAGAAGAGGGAGGGGAGGAAATTGCGAAAAAAAGACAGAAGGGGTTTGCAGAGATTTTGACTTCACCTCAAGAATTTTGACGTCGAGAGTATCCCCGACTGCCACAAACTGGTACAGCAGGAGAAGAATTCAGAAGAGGAGACGAACAGGAGAGGAAATCAGGCGCCTTAAAATTCGAAGGCAGGTGAGACGGAGGACGTTTTACAGGGAACGCGGAAACAGGACAGGGGAGAAGAAACAGGGAAATGCGAGGGAGGAAGGTAGGTCAAGGCCACGGAAAGGAGGCATAGTGTCATGTCATGTCAAAGGAAGACTGGAAGTGAATGTGAATGGATGTGCAGGGGTGACAAGATGGGGTGGCAATCAAGAGTCGTGTTTTGAGTCGACTCAAAAGACGTGTCATGTCGGAAAGACTGGAAGTGAATGTGAATGGATGGGCAGGGGTGACAAGATGGGGTGGAAAGCAAGAGACGTACATCCTCTGGCTTGTTGAGTCGCACTGTGGAGAGCTCACTGACGTGGATGAGGGCCTGGGAGGGGGATGGGAGGGGGAGGGGAGGGGTGGGAGGGATGGGAGAGAATAATTACTGAGATGCCTCGATAATTGTTGAGTCGCACGGTGGAGAGCTCACTGACGTGAATGAGGGCCTGGGAGGGGGAAGACGAGAGACGGCGGAAATGGAGAGTGGGAGAGAGAGTGTGGGAGAGAGGCGTGTGCTTATACTTGCTGAGTCGCAATGTGGAGAGCTCACTGACGTGAATGAGGGCCTGGGAGGGGGAAGACGAGAGACGGCGGAAATGGAGAGCGGGAGAGAGAGTGTGGGAGAGAGGCGTGTGCTTATACTTGCTGAGTCGCAATGTGGAGAGCTCACTGACGTGAATGAGGGCCTGGCAGGATGGATGGAAGGAGTGGGAGGGGGATGGGAGCGAGATGGCGGGAGGAAAGAGGAGAGAACGGGGGAGGAAGGTAGTGGGAGAGGGGAAAGGGGGCAGTAAGGGCAGGAGAGTGAGCAGCCGTGTACTCCTTACTGCTACGTTAATGAGGCAGAGGCACCACAAACACTGTCTGAGAACTGCTCTGAAGCGAGCCTAATTTTGAGTCAAGTCTATTTTTGAGTCGACTCAAGAATAGGCTATTGGACGCGCCACAAACATTGTCTGAGAACTGCTCTGAACGAGAAAAGTGCTTTCACTAGTGAGCCAGAGCACCTGAAAGTGAGAGGAGAGACGTTAGTGTCGCAACAAGCACTACCACCCCACTCCCCTCGCTGCTCACTTCCCCTCTTTTACCCCCCCTTTCTCCCGCTTGCTCACCTCTTTCCCTGGTTTGAGCTCCACAAAAGCCCCGTATGGAACGACAGTCTTCACCACACAGTCACTGCAAGGGGAGGCGGGCGAGGAGAGGGCAGGAGAGCGGGTGCATAATGAGTTGCTTAGAAAGTGATTCACACACGAGAATTCTCGAAGGGAACGTAAGAATTTGGAGGCGCCTTAAAAGATGCAAGATGCAACCGAGATGTACTTTGAGAAAGTGACCCCAGTACAAAAAGCCTCCACCGCAAGTGAGAGATGCAAGCATGAGAGATGCAAGTTGCAAGTGGGAGACGTACTTTCAATCGCTCAGAATGCCCCCTAGTCTGTCGACTCCAAATGCAAAGCCCACAAGCAC